CAGGAAAATAAAACAAACGGTAACTAGTTATTCTTGTTGTCGCATGGGTTGCCCTGTGTGCGGAGTACCGGTGCCACGGTTTGGTGTACCATTCGCTTATTCCTCACCTAAGTCCCTGCACATAGATGTGGGCCACCCCCTCATATGGGCCACCCGCAAAACCCCGCACCATTAACCGTATCATTTACTTCGATGCTTGATAACTCCATGAATTATGGCTCACATTCCTTACAATTTCGCGTGTGCACTCCTGATCCAATGAAAATCCAATATACCGAACATGACATCAACCAAGCACTTGATTCCTTCGCCAATGGGAAGTCTATCCGGAAGGCCTCGATGGAGTAGGGTATTCCAAGGGCCGCTCTCTTCAACCGCATGCATGGCCGGGAATGTAGAAAGGATGCATTTTCTTCCCTTCAGAGGCTTTCCCAGACGCAAGAAAATAAACTTACCGAATAGATTCTAATCCAGGACGCTCTAGGCCCCCCTCCCACACACTCGCAGATCAGACAATTCGCGGAGCGGATGCTTGCCGTCAAAGGGGACCACGAACCACTTGGAAAACACTGGATGCAGGCTTTTCTGAGAAGAAACCCTGAAATTCGGACGCAGAGGTGCTATCATAGAGACTCTGCACGTGTTAACGGTGCTTCCACCCCGGTAATTCGACCTTGGTTTAGAAATTTCTACATTCCCGAGATCCAGGCTATTGAGCCAGAGAACAGGTACAACATGGATGAAGCGGGCATCGTGGAAGGCTTGGGGGAGAATGGTCTAGTCGTTGGAAGTTCGGAGAGACGCTCTGTTCAGAAGAAAACGCCGGGTTCGAGAGCCTGGACGTCCTTTATCGAATTCGTGTCGGCTACTGGCTGCGCACTACCGCCTTTGGTTATATTCAAGGGAAAATCCGTTCAGAAACAATGGTTTTCGCACGATTTAAGTTATTTCAAGGATTGGCAATTCACAGCGACAAAAAACGGCTGGACTTCGGACCAAACTGCGGTCGAGTGGCTTGAAAAGATGTTTATTCCCAGGACCCAGCCATTCGACCCATCCGAGCAAAGATTGTTAATTTTAGACGGGCACGGAAGCCACGAGTCGGTTGATTTCATGTACCTATGCTATCAGCATAAGATTCATCTACTTTACCTTCCCCCTCATACCTCACATGTCCTGCAACCTCTCGATCTGTCCGTCTTCTCACCTCTCAAGCACTTCTACCGCAAAGAGGTCGAATTTCTAAGCCTCTTGACCGATTCAAGCCCAGTCGGCAAGCAAAACTTTCTTATATGCTATCAAAAAGCTCGGAAACAGGCGCTGTCTGCATCAAACATCAAGGGTGGTTGGAAAGCAAACGGTCTCTGGCCAGTGTCAGTTGCAAAGCCTCTTTTGAGCCGTCTCCTGCTAGAGAACAGTAACAAGGGTAATAACGCACGAAAACCACCGATGAATTGAGAACTTCCTTGTCTTGCAAATCTTGGATGTCGGAGACATCACAGGTCTCGTGGTCTACTCCTAAGAGGTCCAAAGATCTCAAGGTTCAAGTACTACATTTTAGCCAACTAGAAAGCGATATGCCTACAAAGCGATTGCTCTTTAGAAGGATTGCGAAAGGGTTCGATGAGAAGGATAGCTTCTTGCAAAAGGCCAATTGCAGATTCAGACACTAGCAGCACAGCTAGAGGCTGCCAGACCAAAGCGAAGGAAGAAGGTGGAAACTAGCCCAAATTCGAGGTTCGCCGATATCAAAGCAATACAGCGCGCACAAGAGGAATTTAATGTAGCTGAAAATAATGGAGGAGATGAAGAAGAGCCAGAAGTATCTGAAAATGAAGAAAACTGCATCGTAGTTCAAATCGATTAGGCGAATAAACTATGATGAAATGGAAGTCGAGTTTGGACTGTAGATATTTTTACGCGGCCCATATGGGGGGGTGGCCCACATCTATGTGCAGGGACTTACCCCTGCGTCGAAGAATTGGACTGCATCCACAGGGGCCTGAATAGCCCCATTAAGATGACCCAACCTTTTTGAGGGCCCGGCGGAACGGTGAAGCCAACTCCGGTGACGGAATTACACATACCTGCAGGTGTGGAACAATGGAGCTCACAAAACGGCCACTAGTAATGCGGCCTCATTCGAGCAGATCCTTGCCTGTCACATTCAGGAGTCTCTGTGGCCGGGTGATCCAAAGGATGGTGTCGGACAAGATGGGCGATATGCATCATTGCTTTGTTGATAAATACAGATGACCGACGAAGCCTCTTGCGGGAGAAGAATGGAACAACCGGGGAGGTGAGCCGGAATGATTAAATTACTTCAGACTTGGAAAAAGAAGATGACTGTTGAGCTGGCACATGCACACAGACTGGTTTGCGTAGCCGCAGAGGGAACATAGCCCCTGCAGTTGATGTGATGAAATGGGCACAGAGCGGAGTCACTCAGTCTAGGGCAATTTGCATCAAGCCACTCGGAGCGAGTTACTTTCAGCGTCACTGGGGTGAGCAGAGCCAGCGCTGTAAGTCGTTTGTTTGAACATCAGGGATTTGGCGGTGATCGCGGCTTGTTGCTATGGCCGCGAACCCGTTTGTAAGTGTAGAGGCTGCCATCGAATCGTGGACCTTGCGTACCAAGGAATCATGCCGCGATTCTAGTGGTCCCTTTCTTCGCCGGGGCGTCACATCGCTGGTTATGGCATGACAGACATGGTCATCTGGCCCATCGTCTGTCATTTTATCTCGCTCAGCCTACCTAAGAAGGGCTAGTTTCAAACGTGTGATTGAGTTGCTATGCGATATTAGTATTATACATGGGAGTACCGTAGTTGTCTTGACTGGACGAAGCTATCATTCTTACGCTGACAACCTGCTCCGCGAGTTTGTATTAGTACAGGGACAGTAAGCGGTCTACATGGGCAACATGTCCCCCCAAATCGCACTTGACAGCACAATGGACAGATGGCTTTGTAGGAGTGTAACTACTTGAATTCCTGAAGGCAAAAACAAAACCATCTGAATGTGTATAAGACTTCGCAAATGAGCCCTCAAGTGAGGTCGCTGTGAAACTGGGATAGGGTGCGGCAATAACAACTAACACTGTCACGGTCATGCAAGTGTCTATGTGAACTTTGGTAGCTAAAACTACGTGATGAGGACTAGCTCGGAAGAATTTTCTTACCGCCTCTCTTTGGATATAGACACTAAAAGTGAAGCTCATGCCTTAGTTTATGAGGGCCAGGTTTTCTGAACACGAGCAGCAGAAGCTTCAGGCGCAAAAGCACAGACATAATTAACCGCCTTCCTGCTTTAATTGACTCTGTGAGGCTCTTGTTGCATCTGATAAGGTGGATGACACTGAAAATTTCTGGCTTGACTCGGGAGAGTTGAGATATAAATTGCATTACATCTCTTCCTCCTGCAAGAAAAAAAAAAGGGGGGGGGGGGGGGGGAACATTACATTTTTTACCAAAATATGCAGTATTGGTCTCCGTTGGGTTTTCCCTCTTCATATCCCAAAATTCTGTTTCAGTATTTCGCTTTTCATTCTGGTAAATCACATGCGTCTGCCGACACGATGGCACCGGGAAATGATCTGCGTCATCCACTGCCCTCTACCCCACCTTCAAGCATAAATGTAATTTATACTCTGACATTTCCGAAATTCGGCCAAATCCAGGACAAAAATATCTATGACGCGGATCTTGCGAAAACCCACAGTCGATTTCACCGCATCCTTAACAACAGATTCTCGAGACAATTAGATTCCACCATGCCGAAATCAGACTTGCCTATCCTGTATAGATCGGATATCAGGATAAGACACCAATTCTGATTGACCACCCGCCGATCAGTTCGATGGCTCCTTTTAGAGGGATCATGCCGCCGACATAGTGCCTCCATAGAAACGCGAAATGCTGTCCAGCGTACTAGGACCTATGTCGTTGCATCAATTAATACCAAGCTCCTTCACACAAATATTTAATCTAGTAGTTACAGTATTTATCTTAGGCCTTTATGCTAAGCGTACCATAACATCTCAGCGTATAGGCTCCTTCTTTCGGGAAGCTGCAGTTTGCGCATCATCGCCTTAATTGCCAATGGAGCCTAAAGATGAAGCAGCACTTCATCTTCGGATCTCTGGAATTTGGACTACGTCTCCCCTGCGACATGCCTGGATAGTGGCTAGTTAGGGCTGTCGAGAAAGTGCAAACAGAGCAAGGGAAACTGTGGCGTACCAATGCTCTCTCTGCTCATGGTCGAATCCGAAACGAGACTCATTATGCGTCTCCACCAGGTAGAAGAGGGCTCGTTATGGGCGGGGAGTTGAACAGCAGTGTCCCAGCTAACTAGGATAATGATTTAGACTAACCGATTGACCAGTTAAGTACAGTATTACAGTAGCGAACAGTTAGTTAAACTAGAATAAAACTATGCTCTCAGTGGTATATCATATCTGTTAGACCTGCTAAACCTGCTATCCTGATATCATCCTTGTTAACCCTGCTTATCTGATATCATACCAGGATAGGCAAGTCTGCTCAGAGGTTCCAAATGTCCATGTTCCTAAAGCTAAGATGTCTGCGTCTAGGGAGAAAACTGGCCATTAATGGGTGTTGCATATGACGCAATATCACATGCAGGGTCCAACATGCGCCTAAATAAACAGTCTACCTTAGCGGCATCTCTAGGTTACAGAATCAACGCAACTCCTTTCATCTGTGTTCCTCTGTGACGTTCAATAGTATCCATACCGTACTCCCGGCACGACGCCACAATATTCGCTCGACTGCGCCACAGTATACCTCCCTCCGTTCATGCCTGTAACGGTCCAAGATGAGTATATTGACAACCAGCTGGGCGACTACTACGAGTCTCTAAACGCTGAAGAAGAAAGAGAAAACAGAACAAGAAAAGGAGAGCTCGACGCGTAAGGAAGTTCGCCCGTGGGCGGGTCCCGGCCGAAGGCGAGAGTGTAAACCGAACCACATCGGGCTCAGCCCGTTACAATGGCGGACAGGCTTCATACTCAACTCAGTTGGAAGAAGAAACCTTTTTGAAGTATCTGTTTAGTTCTGGCCTCTATACATTGAGGACTAGTTTTTCTTCCTACTATGAGAATTGAGGTCTGGGGGCGGACCCGCCTTAGCGTCGGCCCTTCTTGCGTTTCCTTGTCATGACTCGGCTAACTTCGCCTGAGGCCAACCTTTGTCGCGCTTTCTGTCCCATAGTCTGAAGCTCTGAATCTGTCAACTCAGACCCCTTCCTCTTCACCGTTAACTCCTCGGACTTCTGTGCCGTAATCGCCTTAATGTGAACCTTCGCGTCGCGAGTTGCACTGATCGTCACCTTGATTTCCTGTCCGGCCGACACGGCAATGCCAAATACGCCCAGTAAGTTGTTTTCCGAGGATTTTCTATGTTCGCCCTCGTATAATCGGATTTCAGTCTCTTTCTCATGGATGGCGGTAAACGCCATAGTGTAACTGGCTGGAAGGGGAGTGTTTCGCTTTAGCACGACTTCCATGACATCATCTCTCTGGCTGTCTTTATGTTGAGTGTTAATGCCCAAACTCCGGCTCAGAACCTCAGTGACGACAATGTTCTTGGACTTGGCCACTATGGCAGCCCCTTCAGCGACCACTTCAGCTGCCGGGCGCCGAGGGAGGAACTTGGTATCGTTGAGCACCCGGTCGACGAAGTCTTCAAAAGGCCTTAGGCAGGAACACCCCCCAGCGAGTATCACGGCTTTCGGGGTATCGCCCTCAAGAGCTTCCTTGATGAGCTTGCCCACCCTCTGTAAATAGGGCTGGAGGGCTGTTTTGAACTTGGCTTGCGTAATGTTGTATGGCTTTCCCCTTACTTGAATAACAATTGGATCATCATGCTGCTTCTTGGCTAATTCACACAAGCCCATGAGCTCATTGTATGGAACAGTATCAACTTTGTTCTCGAGCAGTTTGGTTAGAACATGGAGAAAGTCATGTCCTCCAAGCGCATTATCTCCCGACGTGGCTTCGACAACGAATGTCTTTTTACCATGGCTGGTTGATAGGTTGACCTTCGAGCAATCACTTGTTCCCCCACCAGCGTCGATGATTAAGAATTTGCCATTATTATCGCCTTCCCGGAGCTGAGCCACAGCTACCGCCGTCGGCTCATTCATAATTCGAAGCACTTCCATCCCGGCAATTGTGGCGGCGTCGTGGGTAGCTCGGCGTTGCGAGTCCGTAAAGTACGCCGGCACAGTAATCACGCAGCTCGTCACCCTTTTACCTGTTGCGTCCTCGACGATCTTTTGGGCTCTTAGGAGAAGCAGGGCCACAAACTCACACGCTCGTACTTGTTCATTACCGACTCGGCAAAATGGGTTGCCATCGTCATCCAGCTCAAAAGGCAGATTCCATTTCTTGATGTCCGCTTCTAGCCGCCCGTCCCGGGAGTTGCGCCCGAGGATGCGTTTGACATCGTGGATGAATTGAACATGGTCAGGATGGTTTGTAATGTCATGCTCTCCAACCTTCCAGATGTCGCCCCTTATACTAAAAGTTGAGGGGAAAGTGCGCTTGTCGTAGTCGTGGATAACGACTCGCGGCTCAGTCTTTCCCTCCTCCATTATGGCGACACAGCAATTGGTCGTGCCAAGATCGACGCCCATCTACGTTAGTTAGCATATCTGAAAAACAATAAATGGGAAGGACAGTACCGCGATGGATGAATCTTCCGCCATCTTGAAGGTCGCAGTTTTTGGCGACGGTGTCGTTGCTACGGGCTCGAAAAGGGTGGTGTGACGAGGTGCAAAGGATTTGCTGCGAGAACGTCGCTTTAAGTGCCGATTCTCATTTTTAGCGCCCAGCATGATATCAACTCTTTGCCAGCCTAAATACGAAACGCCACAATATACACTCGATTGCGCCACAGTATACTTCCCAGTTGCTTCTCCCCATGTCAACGGTTACCCACGGCCGGTCCCACTTATTCGGCCCACTATAAATATGGAAAAGGGCAGTGGAACACCTACTCAGATGGAACAACCTACCATATTGTTGGAAATTTCAGATTAGACACCCTGTTCGACCCCGCACGACGGCGGCTTACGCTGCGCATCTCAACAAAAACCAACACTTTCTGAGGCTGCGTGTTCTGAAGATTCCTTCCTCACGGACAAACCCCCACCCACATTGGAAGATGGACAAGGAACTTGAACATCGCCACCTCGAAAATGCAGATATTCTTGAACTCTTTTGTCTACAAGGTAACCTGGAACCAACATTGGGATGCGATGGGCCGTCGTTGGCGGCAATGCATGATTCCTCACCGCCCAATCCGCCTAAGATGCTTGATTTACTCACTGATCGATGGAGCCACGTCGTCGGCGCCTATGTTCGCCTGGAAGATGAGACACAGCACCTACTTGTCAATAACGCATACATGTATCTCAAGGAAGATCCAGCGTCCCGATGGCCTCAATTGCTTGCGCGTAGCAGTCGAAACTCTAGTCCATCCTGGTCGTGTTGCGCCAAGTCCGATAAAACTCACACGACCCAGCGCGAGCCCGCGTCCACCAGTACATACCATGACCCAGCCGAAGGAACGGATAATGGCCTGTCAACGCTTAATTGCAGCAAGGAGGAGGTAGCTGCCACTGCCCCTCCTATCCGGGATATACCTCCTAAATCCCGAACCCACGGTAATCAAATTTCTGGTCGAGGTTCACTAACCTGCCCTCATTGCAACTTACGGGCCATTCGAACTATTCGATCACTCGTTACCCACGGAAGAAATTGTTCCCAAACACCTAGTTCAGCGCGGGCGAAAACTGTCGTGATCCCCCATAGGACTTGCATCTATGAGTGTGGCTATAGTCGCAACAACTACGCGAGACACGAGAATCTCCAGCACTATAGGTGCTCTTGCGGCAAGATTACCACGAAGTCGCACAAGGACTGTCTACCCATACGGTCTACACCGATCGACCCTGTTAAATATTTTGTCTATCCTCCTATAGAAACTCCCAAGCCAACACCAGATGATATACTCGATACAGTATTCAGCGGTCTGCCGCCATTTCTTGCGCGATTACTAGAACCCTTAGACGACCATTCATTGGCTTCGACGGTACGCAGGGCTCTCCAAAAATGCCAAGGCTTGGTGGCTCCCAAGTATAACGGGACCGGTAGGTTCACAACGACATGAACCAAGGACTCTGCTGAATATGTTACAGATCCTCCTGAAATAATAATTACGGATAATGCAGGGGAGGCACGTCACCAACATGTGTCCAAACTCATGTCAAACACACTTCCCCAGTTTCAACTAGCGACGGAGAACGTAGTTCCAGACACGGCCGAGGTGGTTGAGTTCGCAATGAACGGAAATATCGACGGTCTAAAAGACCTGTTTAGTAGAAAGCTAGCGTCTCCACGAGATGTGAGTGTTTCTCGAAGGTTTACCTTGATCAGAGTAGGCTTTGCTACCCCTTTCTCCTGCAACATTTATGTGTGTTTTGGGAAAGAGCTGAGAACCTTGTCAGTGGGCGCTTTACGGTGGAATGCACCAATTTGAAACTGTCCAATTTTTGATCAATCATGGGGCGTACGTGGATAAAGAGTAAGTATCAAGATGATGCCAAGCAGTGCCAACCACATCGATATAGCCGCTGATAGATGAACCACCTCATACAGTTCGTATGAGCATGTATATGATTTTACATTCCGCGGGAAATGCAGCAATATGGAGCTGCTGGGGCTTGCATGCGTCAGACTCAGCCAAGGAAACGACTGGATTGAGGAGCAGAAGTTCCCCCTGATCCACACGATCATCCTGGGCATATCCAACAGGCGGCTCGAGGCTGAGCTCAAGGCTAACCCAAGCGCCGTCCATTTACGGGATGCTCAGGGTCGCACCGCGCTCGACTGGGCCACAGCGCGGTCCCAGCTGGACGACATGAAACTCCTGATTAACCACGGCTCCGATCCAAACAGTATGGATATCCAGGGCCGTACCACTATCCTGCACGCGGTCGACAGTCACAGCGACGAGGCCGTGCGCATCATCCTCGAGGCAGGCGCGGACCCTAATCCAACGATGCCAAATGGAAAACTTCGCAGCAGCCCGCTTGCGTCAGCCAGCTTTGGCGGCCTAGCGGAGACGATCACGCTGCTCCTCAAGCACGAGGCCAAAGTCAACGCATGCAACCCAGAGGGTCGGACTGCGCTGCATTGGGTAGCCCTCACGGACAACGTCGAATGTGCAACCATCCTTCTCGAATCGAAGGCCGACCTAGACTCTCCGCTTATGACAGCTATAACCCACAACAGCCATGCAGTTCTAGAACTTTTCGTCGGCCGGTGTACCACCTCCTATCCCATGAGAGAACCTCAATTTCTGGACCAAATAGCCAAACACGCGGACGTGAAGACGATGTCAGTACTTGCGTCGTCTTTGCCACTGAAGATGTCTTTAAACTTGAGCGAAAACAGCTTTGCCGCTTGCCAGGAGAACTTACGGCTGCGTGAAGACTATAATCAGGAGCTGGACTTCGCTTTCGAGCAACTGGTTTTCCCCATCGTCAGGGTCGCTGTTTCCTAAATGATTAATAGCACGTTCTGGTTCTGTCGGATAAGCCTCTGTAGACTGAAGTCGCAGAGCTTGGTGTAATTGTTGGATGTCATAGCGTCGGCTATCATGACTAAACTTAGCCGAAAGTTAAATTCGGACGAAAGGAAGTTTTTTTGGTATTAAAAAGAGAGCTGCAGACGGAGTCTGCGGCACTCGCAATAACAAAAAATAATGATTTTATCAAGAAGCTTAGTCAACATGAGTCTCATAACGTGACAGGTTCCTGATGTTTCACCACTTTCCGTAAACCTGAGGTCGTCCTTTTGCGAGGAGCTGCAGGGCTTTTGCGGCCTGTCAAAATCAAGCCGCTCGTTCACGGAGAACCTCTGTCACTGGACAAAAGTTATCTTACTATAAGAGAAAAACCACTCGTACATCATTAGTCACAAGTGATGTGATTTATGAGGAGAAATTTCGGTCTTCGAGGTCTTTCGGTCTTCATGGTGGGGTTATGGAGGTCAGGG